CAATGCAAAGTACTTATCATTTATTTTGCAAAATCGTTTTGTTTTTCATGGGTTTTAACAATTGTTTTCCCAGAGTCGTGATGGGCGTAATCGTAAAATAAAATAGGTAATAAATCCAGGAGAATAGCTGCATAAAGAAACCACATCATTTCCGTTTTAAACCGACTTAACACAAAAAGCCACTGTTACATTTGTTTCAGATCGTAGGCGAACTAAAAATATGAATAATAAAGTTTAGGTCTGTAAAATGTGGATGATATTTTATAGGTTTGTATGTTCCAGTCAAAACTTTTAACTAGTCACACGGACTTTTAACCCAAAATTGAAGTTCTTAAAAATAATATTAACTTAGATCAGATTAGACCGAATGCTGGCTAAAAAATTCCCTTTGGTGCATTCTGACGGTTCTTTTTTTTTGAGTTTAAAGTTGATATAACTTACACTTTATTATAAGCCTCAAATCATATGTTTTTAGTCAAAAGTTCTAAATCGACGATTTTCTTAATCCTACAAGTCCTCACCGCTTTGACAATTGATGTTAATATTTATCTAAAAACTTCTTCCGAAGTTTTGTAATTTAATTTACAGACCTAGGGGTGATCGAATATTGTTACAATCTACATAGAACCTACAACGAATTGCTGCAATTAAACTAAATTGCAATTAAACACATATTAAACCGTACAGTCATACATTTTACTAAATACTCTACGTAATAAGCAATCTTAAACTTGCTTGACCACAATGCTGGCCTTAATATAGACTGAATTGAGTCCTTCTCTGTAATCATGCGTAATAATCAATGGATATTCACAAGTTATTGAATCCTTTGAAATCTCTTAGCTACAGATAGATACTACAAAAGGAAGCTTTGTTGCTGTTCAATTGTAGTTATAGTCCCTTTTGAATATAATCTTAGAACTGAGCTATCTCTGTATTTAACATGAACCCAAAAACACTGAACTTTTTAAATAATATAAAGATATTACAGATCTGCAAGTGACTTCTAACGTATGCAAAAACCAACTATGCTTCTAAAAATGCTTTTTATTTATCTTAAAATTGAACTATTTTACAGCAATAAGGATAATGGTATATAATATTAAGCGGCCTTATTATTTTGGGCAGACTTACACTTGCTTTTTTTTGCTACCTTACACGAGATTTTGCTTTATGTAGCAAAGAGGTTGTAGATATGGACTGCAGTTATAAAGAAGAGCAAAAGAAACATTTTCTAATGGGTATCCGTTAGAAATCGTTTCACTAATGGTTATTAATCTTCTTTAGAATAAATTACATTTAAGTAGCATTTATCTAAACTAATATTAATAATTACAATAGACTTTTTATGTTAATATGTTGAATTATGAAGTCGCAGACATAAGCCAGTGCATATGTAAATATAAGCTAATTAGCTGTCGTCATACAAAAAATGAAAGCAAATATAGATCGTAGTTTTTTTATTATTCGTCCGATTGAACGATTCTCTCTAACTGACATAATCCAAAGTCGACATTTACGACACCTCGGGGAGTGCTGGTGTGGTCTATTCATAGCCGAGGCCACTCAACACAAATCGAACACGATCATTGCTTTTCTAAGTCAGTAAACACTATTTTGTATACGTAGAGTTCTTTTCAGAGATCGGTAAAAGGGGACGAATGTGAAGTGGTTTGTGAATAACTAGTGCTACTTCCATACTTAACAATAAACAATCTGGACTATTATTTTCAACCAGTTTACTACGATGTTATGAAGTAGGGTGACTAGTTCTATAAAATAATCTAAGACTAAGTCGATAAAATAATCGCATTTTGCAGTTATATTACCGTGTTGTAAGAAACCTCTCCTTGTATCGTTTAAACATAACCGTCATCGCCTAAAACACGATGTATGTAGGGAAATAACCGAGTCCATTTCAACAGTCTTTTGTTAGCTTCACTTGCAATAAAAAATAAATCACTAAACAATTTATGGAAATCAATTTCTAATTTATACATATACCCTACACTCACAGTAACTGTCCAAATCTCTAAACTCATTTTCACATGATGATTTAGGTAATGAATAGTAGTTTTGTTTTAGTTTAATGAAGTGTACGCCTTTTATAGTGAACTTAAATCGTGTTTTCTAAACTATTAAACGCGACAGTTTAAAAATTACACGGTTTTGAAATATTTCGGATTTCTATACTTACGTAATTATTGTATCCTTTTTTCCCCTTTTTCATTTGTTTCTCATAGTAACACTAGTGGTCTCTTGTGATCTACATAACAATTGGGCGTAAAGGCACAATATTGAACAAAAAAGAGTATGCTAATTCCATTGTTACGTCTTGTCTTCGTCAACATTTTCGGCCTAAATAAACCAGATGTGGACGTGCGTGCTTTCACTATGAAATATTTGATGTTTCTCAACGTTGACACATATTATCTAATATATAAATAGCAAAAAATGAATCAATCTGGCTTTTCGGCTTGACAACTAAATTTATTTTTGGTTGTATGAGCTCTAGCGGTAACACCTAGAACCACAGAAATGTTTAAGTCTATAAGCTTTTGCCTGGGACTTCGCTCGCCGTTTTTATGCCCTATATCGTACCCTTTCAACGAGTCTGGAATATAACATAATTACATAATTCGTAGTACCTGGATGACCGAGCTTTAGTCGGTATTTTTTTCGGTAATTTTTTTTAAAATGAAACCTAGCTAGATCGATTAATCGCCACTGAAACCCCCTGCATACTTTTTTTTTTAATTTCTAAATTATGTTAATATATCATTTTTTTCCGAAGTGGACACAAAGTAATTCTTCCGTTAGTTAAAATTTAAGCAAATAAACTGTAAGTTCTATCAACCGTCGTTGATTATCAACATTCGTGGGATAATTTATTACTCCCATAATTTGACCTAACTCTTCTGACTTTATCTTTACCTGTAACGTGACCTGTAACGAGGAGATGTAAGTCGACACAGAACATAGACCAACTATTTCAGAGTAAAATTATTCAATTTATTAACAAATAGAAATGGACTGTCTTGAAATGCGAGAAAAAGTAAACTTTTCGCACACTTTTAATTTATAATTAACGATTAATAACTGATTATCTAAAGTGTACTTATAAGGTACGTTATTAAGAGACCATAATTTATTTTATTTCAGGGGATGGTTGAAAATTAATTCAATACCATAGTTAACATACATAACTACATTTCATACCTCAAGTATTTAGCGTACCTATTAAATGCTTCAACATCCATACCTTATATAATAAATGTGACAGTGAGTTTATTTATTTGTTCGTTTGTTACGCTTTCAGGCCCAACCCACTAAGCCGATTTCAATTTTTTTTCTACTAATGGTAAACTACATTATCGTCGAGGAACATAGACTACTTTTTTAATTATAATTCACTGCAAATATCGAGAACAAGTCTACTGAAACATTATTCAAGTACTCAAACGCAAACTAATTACCGTCATATTCCGTGTACTTGGGAATTCGACGAGTGAGTAAAGCGGTTGTTGTTCTTTCATACGATAAATTTTTCCAAAGATTTTTGCTATAACTTACGTCTAAATATAATGATATTTATACTCCATAAAGCATGTAATTCAAATCCCAATAGTTAATCGTTAAGGAAATAAATCGACATAATATAGTTAAGGAAATAAATCGACATAATATCTCCGAAACTTCGTTTGATAACAATAAGAGCTTGCGTTGAAAGAACGTTGTGTTGCCAATTTTCATGTTGCCAAATCGTTCCAGACCGCCCGTAATATCATAATACAGTTTGTGTCTGAATGTGCCTGTACTTAAGAGTGTTAAATCGTTCAGTTGTAGCTGCGGTATAGTGTAGAGTTTCCTCGTTATAGTGTAAGGTGACACTCTCAATTTGCGACACTAGGTTGTAATTTCAAGAGGTGTCTGATTAGTCGCTAGTACGCAAAATTTTAAATGAAATTTGTGTTAGTTTAGAAATTTATATTTCATAAGATTAATTGCTTGTTTGCGCAGACGAGTTTTGAATGTAATAAACTATTAAAAATATCGTTTTATAATGTTACGATGTTGTTTGTGTGTGGCAGGTGTTTTGGTAAGCATCAATCCAATATTTGTAAGGTAACGTACAATAATTTGATTTATACAGTTTCTTGCGTCTTGTATAATAGCAGTGCTATTAGCAGAATAATCGATTTTAGAGCAAAATCTTCAAAGCAGCTTTCAATATTTTTTCTAGTAGAAATCAACAGCTCCCCAATGTCAAAGTCAAAGTCTCCAAAATTGTAATAAACGTTATAGTGCCATGGTTTGTTTAAAATATTATTTCTAATTAATTGAATTTCACATTTGATTACTATGCCCAATAGACATATACAACACCCTACGAGTGCAAAGAAGTTAGAGATAGCTTTTCTGTTAAAATACAACAGACTTTCACTACAATAACGCTTATCTCTTATCACCCTTTTTATTTATTTCAATCTTATTTATTTATTTACAATATTAGTTTTATATAAGCGTATCAAAATACATATGCTGTTATCGTATAATCATAATTCAATACAACTATAGTTCAATAAATCAACACTGTTTATTCTCTACAATATTATATAAACACATATGCAAATCAAAACGCACCACATAGTATAAAATGACACAGTCAATATAGCATTTAAGATTTGCGGCTCGTTCGTATTTACATCTCCAAAAGCTAGATATTCCTTAATAGGTTAAACTGATACACTACACTAATGTCAACCATCTCAGATTGGTTAACGTTCTATAATTCACAAAGTCTCTTCAGTTGAAATCAAAGACAGAGCTGACGACATATATCACAACTGAAACGCGTGTCTCACTTGACCTATCGCGCTGATTTTGCATTTCAGAGATACATTTACATTCCCAAATTCAAATAAACCACCATAATGTCAACGTCTTGAGATACACTTGACACTTTAATTATAGTCAACAGATTATTTATCATTTTGTATTTATACATACGTTGTCTGCAGTTCGGTATGCGAGCTAGCGCGCTGTGTGGGCGCACAACGGTTTCTGATCATCTGACCGAAGGTTGTCCGGAATTGACGTGACATGGAGCAATATAAAACAAAGTTGATGGCACCATTAAGAAGCGCCAAGGCATCCATCAGTTCACCAAATAAATTGTAACATTGTTTGAAGAAGCATTTTCCCAGAACGCCACTCAGGAGCCCTGTCAAAAACAAGGCACCTAAAATTATAACTCTAACAGCATGTAAATTTGACACACCGTATTCACCGTTGGCAATATGGCATTCGCCTTAAACAAACCTTGTAAATCTAAGCTTTGACAGTGTGTGTTAATATGTAATAAACGGTTTACTCCTTTTTGCTCTTTGATAATCTACTATAAAGTAAAATATTATAATCTAACGTCGTGTTAGTAACTGTTCATGGAATGTTTGAACAAATATAAAATAAGCTGAAAGATTTCACTTCTGATTTTAATATAAAAAATGCATCATGTGACTTGACAAAATTACTACTTTTGGTTAAGTCATTATATTACCTCTTACGTTAGTTATTATTAAATTAATAAATTTGATCACACATACCTAGTATGCCTTGAGGGAACTCTGTCAACAGAAATAGCAGGAGCACAGCGACCAACATTTTAGTTGTTCTGTCTGTTCGGCGCTCCGCTTTGGACCGTTTGGTTGGTTTTCGCGTGAACACGTTGCCTTTACCGTTGACTACTGTCGATGGCAGACATGAACTGTAACCCTTTAGTGCCTTCTTTCTATTATTCGCCCTGTACAGTGCTCTGATCAACCAAGCGCTGATCACTGTCAATATGACACAGGGCAACAGTTTAATCAACACTGCATGCACCCAAAAGTTTAGTTGGTATAAACTCCCATTATAATTGGAATCCACGAAATATACTTTTGAGAGAACATTTTCGTCCTTATCGTAGCTGAAGTCTTTGTGTATAGTGAAAACCTGAAACAAACGAGTTATATGAATTGATAGTCCAAACACACTTAAACACACGCAAGCACACATTTTTAAGTGAGTAATCAACGCTTCTGAAATATCTTGATTTTTGATAAAACACCACGTTAGAACAGACATTCACATTAAAAGATTTCTAGTTTTTTTTTAAATAATAAAGCAACGGATTGATGTAGTTGAATTTTAATGGTAATTAAATTTAAAGAGAAATATAATAATTATAAAAAATAATAATAATATTTCGGATATCTGACTCACAACGCCATCTACTTTCAAACTAAGCAGAACTTTTACCATGAAAGCTAGATTGACTGAAAAAATACTTTTTTTTGTACATACATGCATATTATACAATTATACATTATATAATAATACAATTATACAAAAAACACCAATTAGTACAATATTTCATTATCAACCATGTCCGAAATATTGATGTTTAGAATGTCAATTATAATTGTAAAGGTATGTATATGTGCATGGGGAAAAGCCTATGTCCAGCAGTGGACTGCGATAGGCTGATGATGAAGTATAACTGTAAATGTTATGTATAAATAACTTCACTCTGCACGTGTTATACTTTTTCATAATTATAAGTTTTTAAGTAAGTACAAATAACAAGTATGTAAAGTAAAATAAGTACAAATGACAAGTTTTCAAAGCTATATTTTCGATATTAAAAATGAAATATATTGAATTAAAGTAATACAATTGAGACTAATGTTGTCTTGCGACTAATGATGTTTAATGAAGTTTTTTACTGACAAAATACAAATTTTCTACAATAGCCATAATAACTTCTTTTAAAACATCTACGAGAACCACCTCTTGGTAGAAGCGCACAAGCGAGACTAACTAACTAACACCACGTTATGACTTCCACGTTAGACCTATTGCTAACAGAAATGCTACTCTGCTACGCCACTCCATCTACCTACTAAAAGAAAGAGCGAGCGTGATTGCCCCGTCGAGGAGGACACGTGAGACGACAACATGCTACGTTTTTATCGGGTTATCGAGCAACAAGCATCCATAAGGTCAAATTGAAATTTCTCCACGGATTTGTCTTACTCGTAATTTTTATCAGACTATTCGATGATTTGTGCAGACATTGACCAATCACCTCAGAAGAACTGAACAGCAACACTCATAAAATATATAATATTATGAAGTATTGCGTCTTAACTATATTCTACATTTCCTTACACAAAACGATCTCATCTTTAAACTAAGAAAACATTAGTTACATTCAAAATAAATGAGGGTACTATAATGTCAGCCAAGCCCGGTACACTTTAAATTAAGGGAATCAATTAATTACAGGTGAGGTCAGCCTTGGTGGTGGCAATAATAGCATAGCTTCACGCTACAACCTTCGTCAAGCCCACTGATGTAGACAAATGTCATGATTTGATTTTCACGTAATTATATTCACAAAATTTATTTAGTATTTAAATATATTGTTTAATTGCGGTTTATTTTCGCAAAATGTATTTATGCAAGAATCGCGTCAGATATGTTCAAAATCAAAAACCTGTACTATTATTATAAAACATATTCTAACTAAAATATTTATTTTTGTACTGGATTTTCAATCATTAAAGGCTACACAGAGTTAGCAATAAGCAACTTATAGCCCTGGTTTTCTAAACTTTTAGACGCTTCTTTGGTCGGCAGTAGCCTTGGTCAATTAGATCAGTCGACCTGGCTGGAATGTCATCAACACTGCTAAGGGACAATACTTTTAATATAATACATATATTAGTAAGTCTCTGGCTTCTTTAATCTCATGATGGTAGAACTTTATATTTTTATAGCAGTTCTAAAAAATATAAATTCAAGAGATCATAACTTTCAAATAAATTAAATTACTTAACAATATGGAGCGAAAGGTGGATGCCCACACAACGTTACTTTGGAAAAACAAGTGTTTCTCCTTTTGTTCAATAGTAGACCTGTTGAATCTTTTAACGCTATTACAAACTTTTTCACTAGTGCATACTTTATATTTATTTACCGAAGTTTGTATAAAACTTAGTATTTTAAATGAGAGAGTAAATATGGTGAATATCGGTCAGTAAAATAGGATACATTAAGTCTTTCCTTTTTAGAGAACTCCCCATCAGCTAACAGCAACATTACCAATTCTTTTTAATATTTGTAGCGACGTAAGAAATATTCACAGATCTCATTCGAAATATAGTAGGTAACCCTGTTAAACCTTTAACGTTACTGCTATTTAATTACAGTATTTAACATATTTAATGTTATATTTGTTTTAACGTATTATTAATAACGATGGATTGTAGAGTGACTTTATAAAGTCTATAGCCTTCCTTAATACATGGGCTATCCAACACTAAAAGAGTTTTCCAATTCGAAGTGGTAGTTCCTGAGATTAGCGCGTTAAGCCAAATAAACAAACAAACTCTTCAGCTTTATAATATTAAATGAATGAATGACCATCATTTAATCACTGTAGAACACTTTAAGCATTTTCAAACGCGACAAAGAAGGAGAGTAAATTTACATAAGAAAACGGATAGGTGCGCTTTTCGAGACTTTTTGCCCCGCACAACCGGTTCGTGGAACGGGTTATCGTCTGCAGTATTTTCGGATCGATACGACCTTCAAGAAAAGAGCGTACTCCTTCCTAAAAGGCCGGCAACGCGTTTGTGACTCCTGAGTTGCAGACGTTCATGGGCGGCGATGGTCACTGTGGTATTTACACACTCGCCCACTGTTTAGTTCGTCACCGACCGCTGACGGTATACCAAAGTTTTTACTACGCACTGTATTAAATTAAACTATAACAACATAATATTAAAGGGGTAGGTAGGTATTCGTTTCCTATATTTAAAGTTAGTATTATATTAACTTAAATTGATGTTTAATAATTTATTTGAATATGAATTAAGTTCGTACTTGAATTTTTTCGACCTAAAGAGCCTTGACCATTTGTATCCTAAATAAAGAAATATTTAGACAGAAACAGCAATATGCTCTAAACTAAACTAACGGAATAAACCTTAGGAACGATATGTTATTTGTCGAAAACAGAAGACATAACATTAGTCAAAACCGCATAACAAACATCCGGTTATGACATATTCATTTATATTCTTCTTTCTTTATCTTACGTAACACAATACAATTGAAATAATAGTATTTTGCAGCTTTTGGATAAAATGTCACATCAACTAAACAGAACACGACACAGAGACAAAACAACTAATCTCAAAGAAGAGTATTATAATACAAAATGTAATTGTAGACATTATTACAAAAGCAATTACTGCTTATTACAATATGTTTCTTTCTTATTACATACAAAAAGACTGCATTAGACTCAAAGCTCAGGATGGACATCGAAAAAGCAATTAATGTTCACTTAGAATGCGAAGGCGCTTCGATTTTTCTAATTAATTTGTCGCCTAAGTACCTACCATTAAACAATTTAAGTTAATTGCGTTTTCATTAGCTTCAAATTGTATTTTTATTAGTTAAAACGAAAATAGTTTCATTTTAATAATTAGGGTCAATTAGGGCAAACTAGGTACCTTAAACAGGACACTAGGACCAAGAACATTCCTTCCAGGAGGATCTGGAGGTCGCAGAGTTAAGGGTGGCTTGTGTCGACCAAAAAATCAGCAGGGTTGCCGGCTCCCTTCAGGGGCTTTTGCCTAATCTAGGGGATCCGCAGGAGGAAGTTCGCCGCTTCTACTGTACAGTGATACGGTTCATGGCCTTCTACGGAGTGTCGATAAGCCAACGTCTTTCGGCCTCCTCCTAAGCGAAGCGCGAAGCTTGGGTAGGTAGGGAGGGAGGTCGCGTCACCTACCGACTGACGCAGGTACTCACTGGGCAGGATTGCTGGCCCCACGTGAGATCCTGGTCGACCAAATCGGACGAGATCTGGGTGAGGACGGCTGGGGAGCAGTAGTCTCTTTCACGGGGTACCTGAAATCACATGGTCTGGATCCTCCCCAGAGTAGAGCGTCTGAGGCCAGCCGTTAGGGGGGTTTTTAGTAGAACTCGCCCCCAGGCCTGCGCTTATGGAGGACGGAGGTCGTTCTGCGACCTCCGGCGCCTGAGTGGCCTGCGGTACCTAGCCCGTTCCCGGGCCTGGCGGGCCAGGAGAGTTCTAAACCTCTCCCGGTCCCGCTCCGCCCGATAGCCGCAATCAGGCTATCGAGCGAGAGAACTCCCACTCCGATGGCCGCCACGAGGTCTCGCCTCTGCTCAACCCACGCCGGGCACTCTGCCAGCGTGTGGAGAGCCGTGTCCACGGTCTGGCATCGCAGTGGTGGCACTCAGGCGTTGGCTCCTTGCGGATCAGACACAGGTGATCCCCGAAACATCCTTGCCCAGTGATCACCTGCGTCAGTCGGTATTATTACTGACACTATCCAAAGAAATCTACTTTTAGGAAAGCCAAAACCACTTCTTCATTTAGGAATACGAGTAATACCCAAGTAATACGTGAGAATCCATGCGTAATTTAATTACTATTTGATATAGAAATTATGGATAAATATTGATCTCCAAATTGAGCACTTTTCTTCTCAAAATGAATTTATATTTTTATTTATTTCAGTGTCACTTTTCCTTTCATTTTAGTTTTTTTTTACATCTTTTTAACATTTTTATACTTACTTTTCAGTAGAAAATAAAAGCTTCTAAACTATTTTTTTTATTACCAAAATATGTTTTATCTAACGTAAAGAGGGTTTTAATTCTGTTGCTGTTAAAAACGCATGCTATTATTTTTTTCCAATCATTCATTTACATTATATCACAGTGGGAAGTTTTCCATCTCACTGTTTAGCTTTCCCTGTATATGTCACCTGTGTGAGTCACGACCATCCGGGGAAACATTCTGCTCCTGTCGATGCTATAGAAGCTCTAGATTTAGATGAACAAGAACTCAATGATGTCATGTCATCGACAATCATCATCGCATTTTTTTTGTTTAAGAAAACAATGAAAAGCAAAGTGACAATAAGTAGTAAGAACAATTTCTATACTGTTTGAGAAATTGTTCTTATATGATAAGAACAATTTCTATGTTAAGCCAAAATTGACACTAAACGAAAAGAGTATTGGGTTAAACCATAAATATTAGGTAACTTTAGTACACAATTGTGACACTAAACGTAAAATGTCACTTTTTCGATAAAAAAAATATACCTTCTTACTTGACGGCTTAATCACTAAAGTGACATTTTTGCACTAAAAAATCGTAAAATTGGTTCTCGACTACACGTTAAAGGTCAGCTTTGCTCTGAGGGGACGGAAATATTTTCTTAAGTGACGAAATGAACCATCCAGCGTTATTTATGTAACTTTTTAACCAATGTTGGCGCGATTATATGCAAATCACCGTTTTTCAAAAGTAGATTTCGCAAAATTTTGGATACTGACAGTTTTGGATTAAGGGTGTTTACAGTTCATTTTAACAAACTAAAATAGCAAAACCATTTTACGATGAAATTATGATGAAGAAATGATAGACGAGATTGAAAAAAAAAAATTGAACTAACCTCAAATAAATTTGGGAAAATGATGAGCGATGATGAGGGATATACAAAGAAGTTATATTTATCATAGAATAGTTGTTGAATTTTTAAAGAAGCCACAATATAGAATACTCACAAAGTACGATGGTATACATAGTATAGGTGGCAGGATAAAGCTGAGCAATATGGCTATGGTACATCTTCTATCTGTGCAAAGGGCTGGGCTATAAGTAGGGTACCTGCGAACATTAAAAAATACTTTATTATTCCTTCTTATTTTGTTTCTTGTAACATTTAACAGTTATACGAGTACATTACATAACATTATAAAGTTACAGTATATCTACATATAAATCAATGTATAACCCACACCTATGACCACGTTACTCTTATGAACGCTTCTTTCGTTTACTCTTTGTCAGTATGAGCCATTGACCGAGTGGCACGTGCGGTCACTTAAAAAACACATTTATTTTATCCTTTGCCTGCGATATCATAGCCTGTTAGATTTATATGACAGCCATCAGCTCCAAAATACGTACGTAGGTACGTACGTAACTGTTAACGTTTGTTATAATAAATTTTAATAAGATGTTGCTGTTTCCGAAAATCCTTACTTTAATCAACTTAAGAGTTTTTAAGTAACTAACAAGGTTTTAAAACAGTAACATCATATTGAAGTTTAAAAAATTACATTTCTTTTAATTTTTTAAACTTAAGATGATTTTTGTCCTAACTTCGATAAAATAACGTTAAATGACAAATAAAGTAAATGGATGGAGATTCGTAATGCTTATTCAATGAGTGTAGTAAATTTACATTGTGGAGAGAGGACATGTATACTAACCCTACCAAAAATTGAAGTCGTTTACTTGATATCACAGCATTGTGTTTTACCTTACATTGTTTGTTTTTGTTGTTTTACATTGTATTTACTTACAATAACACTGATAGGCAAAGAGTTATATGCCCGAAATGTTCTAATACCATAGGGAATTAAACACTTTCTAAAACAAACATAAATGGCCACTTCAAACAAGTTCCTGCTACGGCCACACTAGCTAGGCATTCCCAAGACACTACTAAATGGGGTTCCTTAAATCCATATCAGTATATTTTCTAAGGCAGACACCTAATTTAACTTTACTAGTTTTGGTATTCATTTTCATTAAAACTTTTTATAACATGTGAGTTTGAAGCAAAAAACGAAGTTAATAAAGTAATAAGAATTGAGATTAAAGATCAAGGTAAATTGGAAACAGCTTTTTTTAACCCTCTCACATGTATACCACTGTAACTCCTGTATACCAGAATCAACAGCAGTGACCCACGAACACACGGAGTTATGACACTCGAAAAGTCCCAGGAAAAAAATTAAACTGTCTTGGAACCCGCAACGAAATTAATCAAAAGAAAATTGGAGGAGTTGGAAATACAGTAAATCCAATTCCCTCCTTACCAAACTAAAGTAAAATAGGCATACACCCTTTTAAACAGGAAAGCACCACGGCCACAAAATATTATGGGTCCTAAGTGAGCTATATTTGATTTCTATAATATGTATGGCAGAATCGCCTAAATGCAAGGAAATTCACCCTAGTTGACACAAGATCTTCATAGTATACCGCCCCAGATGTCACCTTCAAGCTATTCAGCATTAAATTACGTTCATTATACCAATGACTACATTCCCAGAGGATATGATGAACACAGTTAGAGTTAGGTGTTGAGCATTGACACAATGGTGACTTGACAAATTTAAATGAATACAGTTTGCTCTTAAAGTAACTTTAACCTATAAGAAATTTAGCGACACAGTGATCTACCTCAAGCCATATCCTCGACAACCGTTCGCGAACAGATGAAAAGAACTGGCGCCCCTTAGAGCGTCCCAGCATTGTTGCCATTCGTATATGAGGTCATTATAGACATCGGACTGCTGTTGCAGCAATCTTGTAATTTTATCGCGATCTCGTGCGCCCAAAGAATCGTATTCCATGTTTAGTGTTGAATAGTACATGGCGGCACGTCTCTGCACCTCGAGATGGATCGGAAGGACACCCGCCAACACCGACAAGGCCTCAGTGCTAACCGCGCAATGAAATCTTCAACCGCACAACGTCGAACCGTATCGGTTAGTGTGAAGTCATAAGATTACGCAAAGATGTTACCGTAAAATTAGAACTTGCAACATATATCCTAGCCTGCGGCCGGCAGTCTAGCTGTACTACATTAATAATAATAATAATCTGATGTGGCTATTTTATCGTTATGAAGATTTAAATGGCCTTTTGAAATATTATACATTGCGTACGTTGAACTCGTTTGTTGAGTTGCGACACTCCATTTGACTCTCAAAATTCGTTAACTTCGTTTCATTGCTAGAGGATTTTATTGCTAACAAGGATACGATACCGGCAATTCGTTGAGTAATGTACATAATCGCTGTTTTATTACCTACAATCATCTGTTATCCCTGATCCCTGACCCTGATAATTTTTGCCAAATAATAGTAGTCTGTGATACTAACTCGCAGTAATTATACTCCCCACAGCTATCACGACCGCTAAGAGACAAAACATTCCCGCTTAAAGTATAAATGCGTTTACATCTATTGCCTTTCGGTGAGAAATGCGTAGGTGACATTTCGCTAAATAACCTTTTTCCGGTATGTGTTAGAAATTCACTTGTACCACCGCGCCGGGATCCGGCAACTCGCTAACAGCCGACAAAGCCACCCAAGACACACCAAACAACATTCACAAAAAGAACAAGTTTATAAATAAACTACGCAAAGGAAAATTAGCAGTGGACGGTAATAGGCTGATGATGAAGATGTAATATATATATTTTTATTATATTTAAACAACTTTATGCTCTTGTGTACATCGCCGGAGTTCATGCTCTGGGCATTATCTACCAGCAAACCTTTTGGTTGTGTAGAAATCTTGTAAGGTAAGTGTACCGAGGTTACAATTGTAGTGAAAGGTTTAAATTTTTTCTATCAATAAATATATAAAAGTGACATAAACTTGCATATAAATATACACACGTATACGTATACGAGATGTACTATTAATTAAGGTAATTTCGCCATCTCGTGAAGAAGGTAATTATGTTCTTTCTTTTAATCCAAATTGGTTTGGGGACATAATGATTTTAAGCAAGATCGCATTCCAGAGTAGACTGCTTGAACGCAGAACGAATATCACGAAGTCGAAGTTATGAGAGGGACATAAGAGAAGCAACTTATTTGTTGACCAAAAATTTCTGTCATTAGAGGACACGAAACAGAAGTAGGCAGCAAGGTAAGTAGGTGAGGATGAAGAGGTTAGAAATGAATGAAAGTAAAGAGGTCAGAGCTCGCTGAATGGGGCGCTGGCGCATACGAGTAGGTAACCTTTTCAATTGGGAACGTATAGCAGACACATGTCTGCTTTGCTGCTCTGCTCTGCATGGACATACTCGCGAAGGTTGGAAATATATAGAATGCAGTTTTTTTTTAATGTGAGAGAGGGCAGACGAGCAGACGGGTCACCTGATGGAAAGTGACTATCGCCGCCGGCCTTTTAGGAAGGAGTACGCTCTTTTCTTGAAGGTTTGAAGGTCGTATCGGTCCAGAAATACCGCAGACGATAACCCGTGCCACAGATTGGTTGTGCGGGGCAAAAAGTGTCTCGAAAAGCGCACAGTAGTGGAGCGCCAACTATCCAGGTAATGAGGATGAAAATTTTGACGTGTGGAACGATGACGGAAATTGGCGGCTAGTATTAGTCCGAACAATTCCTCGGAGTACTCTCCATGATATATGCGAGAGAGAATGCAGAGTGAGCCACATCCCTATGTAACGCCAAGGGATCGAGCCGATCGGAGATGTTTAGGCTATCGACGATTCGAGTCGCTCTTCGTTGGATGCGGTCCAGTGGGAGAAGCTGGTACTGAGGTGCCCCTGCATAGAGTTGAGAACAGTAGTCCATATGCGGCCGGACTTGCGCCTTAGTTATAAAGAAGACAATCAACATTCTTATAAAGACCACATTATTACTTTTAATGTTATAATTTATTATCTGTCATAATTTCCTCCATTAGGTACATTGTAAAACAACATTTGTCCAAACTTATGAAAAGGCTAAACCTTAATTTTATTGCCAGAACCTCTCATTTTGTATTTACATTTTTTTTGTCTATGTACTCACACGTGCGTGATGCATCTTATATAGTGGTCTTGTGTTATACATATAAATTGATTTAGAAATAAGCCTATACATTATAATGTTCATACACGGGAATTAACGAGATCAACTAAAAGGTATTAAAGACCTTTGAAGTGCCTGTCGTCTCGACCAGGTTCCACTATCTGTGGTCAATGACTACCATTGCCTCGGAATAATACCTGTAATGTGATCACATTAATTCTCATAGGTGAACCTTATATATCAAGCAACGTTAAAGTTTAAAGTTACCTATACATAGCGTGGAAAGCAAACATTTTAAACTTCATTATTTATTAAGAAAATTTTCTGTTTTTGATTATTTTCTATTTTCATACAAAGAGGATCTGAAGATCTCATCGTTCACAAAAGGTTAACCAAAGTGTATATAATCTCCTAAGACAAATTGAGGATTATTTCAAGGCCTTGCTAAAGATTAATATTATTAATATTTAGTTGTATATTTTATAGTTTCTAAGAGCTGTGAAAATTAGTATTTCATTGCAGATATATTATATATATTATATTCTTTAATATTTTATAGGTTTAAATTAAATTAATGTACAGATAGGAAGTATATGCAAATATTTAAACAGTACAGTATAGATATTTTAAGTAGGTATACTTATATATGTATGTATAAAACAGGGCGAAACCTAAAAATACATATTATTGTTTTATAACAAAAAGCTTCAACCGTATTGTTACCAAAAATATTTACAACATTGTACAAGTCTATAGAACAATATCAATTTATAAATAATTCTTCAAGTTATGTACATTTTACAAAGAGCCAATTCTGAAGTCAATACAATACACACATTTCGTTTGTATAATCAAATGCCAATTTCAATTACAGATGGCAAACATGTGTGAATAGGTAACCTTCAAGGAGGTTTACCTTTGTGTTTAATGTTGTTACTTGAACGCAACTCAAAATCGTTGTAAGAAATCCTTATAAGAAAAACTAAGCAAACAAATTCATATAGGTTTTCACCAATAATATAAAGGAATAAAGTGGTACAGTAAAACTAAAAGTCGAATAAATATGTACCTGCAATTTATCCCGGACCAAACTTAATATTATAGTTATAGAACATGTCCACCCCTACATTCATACTGCGAATGTCAGTTTGTACACACTATATTCAGAGATTTATCATGCTATTATAAAGTCATAAACCGTAGGTAAACGGGCAAACAGACAGGTGAACCAATGATTCTGTAAGGGTTAAGTTTTTTTTATTTAAACCTAGTAAGCTAACCTTCTTTAAACTTTTTAAAGAAAAGCTTATACGGATTTCTAAACAATTAACAATATGTTTACTGAAAGTTAGCAAATTGTGTGACTTTAAGTATAATAGTTTTGCAACGATCCGTTATGCGGCTAAGAGAAGGTTAAAAGGAATAAACTTCTGAAATTGTTAGGACTGGATTGTTTGTCCATCACTATTTGCAATTTTTTGCGGTATGTATACCATTTTTGTGTTTTAACATCGTGGGGTCCAAATAGTTCCGTGGATGTTTAAAATTCTTATGTAATATCCACTTTGCATGATAAGTGACAATCTAATAGCTTAACATCACATTACTTTGTGGGATTAAACTGTAGTGAATTTATAACGCACACCAATACAACAAAATCTGCCTAATTTGACTAGCTGACGCATTATGTACAAGTTGTCTGGTACACGACTAAACTATTAGGAAAACTTATTGTTTCAATAATTAATCAATCCCAACAATTTGCTATTGTTTGCAACTATCGACAAAACTAATAAATCTTACTACGGATATTCTTGTAATATTTGTCGTTGCGTAAGTTTATAGTTGTTGTAGGTTAATGTATAACTACAACTACAACATGTCCAGCAGTGGACTGCGAAAGGCATCAGCTAATGATCACATTGAGCTATGAACGGTTCTTTAAAAATCTTGATGGTTTCCAGAAAAAGTTAAAAGAGACAAGGTCTTAGGTCTAACAAGCAATGACCATTTTAAACATATTTTATTAAGATACTGCAAATTATGATATTACAACACAAATATAAAGCCTCGAGTCATTAAAAATATAAATGATGACACTTGGAACTACGAAGTAACTACTAATCCTGCATCGCGCAATGATAGTTCTAGCGTCGGTTTGAATATATAAACATTTATGTATGTGTATATTATACATACAACTTTCCAAACATCAACCGTTGGGCCTCGGTCGGCCAGGCTTTTTAGTAAAGTCTCTTATGTTTGAGGCAAGTAAGGGTGCTTCTACACGGTGCAAGTAGGTGGAACGGGCAAATAGGTGGGTTATTTTTACGTTGCGTTGATTTAATGTGCGTGGTGCTTGTGCGGGTTACATGCTCGAGTCCTGGCCCCGCATAGTCCTTTTCGCGTAGCAAATAACCTGCGCAAGTGCTTCAACATACGCAAGCTACTTGCATCGTGTAGAAGCGACCTAACACCCGTTCCTCCACACTATCTTAACAAATTTTACTGAACATTATGGAGGTAGATGCTATACGCCTCTTGCTACGCAGATACTGGCTTAGGTAAATTAACGTTGCCTATGTTGTTACTCAGATGAAGTTTGCCATAACGAATTAGTATTATTATGTAATAAGATTGTTTAGGTACAGATTAACACGATATAAGACAAATTTACCAAACCACTGTGTTGTCTTAATCAACCAAATTAGAACATCATAACAAGAGAATTATCAGTCTGTAATTTATGACATCGTAATATCATAAATTACAGATGATTCTCTTAATCCTCTTAATATAGCAATTCATCTAATACGAATAAAACAATAAATCTGAGTTACACACGTAAACAGAAGTGGGCGTATAAATGAGTTACTTACTTACTTTGCTATTGTTATTCATGAACACGTTCTACTTGTCATATAAATCATGTACTTTACATGATTTTAAAATATGATTGAAAATATTAGGTACTGTTTATATTTTAAAAAGTATTAATAATCTTGAAATCAGTACATATTTATTTATAAAGGTTTAATTTAATTTACCAATTTATGAGTCAAAAATTTTGCTTTGACACTTGACAATTTGAAAAGAAGATTTTGATAAAGAATATCACTAGATGTTTCTGTTCATAACAATGCTCTAAGATATTTAAAAACATTGTTACAGTATCTATTCACCATTATTATACTGTTAGTCTTCTTCGACTCAAATCTATTGGAACAAATGGAAATGTTTACTAACTTGATAGCTATGTAGCGCCAGACAGCGAGCGACAGTGTGAGCAGTATTGAAGCGGTGTGGAGTATCTGCGTAAAATGCATGTGGAACAGCATGTAGACTGCCCACGAGTGCGGACGCTCTCCTTGCCCCGGAAATAGCTGCAATACACGAATCAATTAGGATACGAAATTGAACATTTGAATTCACACCCGCAGATTAGTGAAGCCACAGGCTCTAAGTAGAAAAGCTTTTTATATGGGTATATTTTAACGTACTCATGAGTTAGATAAAATAATTGCGTACAATTTTATGCATAGGATGTTTATCGATCGCCTTTCATCTTAATGAACAGTTTTGCGACAACATTTGGGGCATATAAGAGATGGTGTAACGTTCGAGTATAATTATGTTATTATTTACATGCAATTTAATCGAAATCAAATGACAGTTGTTTATTTAAAGCTATAATGATTCTAAAAAGTCTTTTTCAATCCTCAGAAAACTGAAAACTTCAGAGAGGTTGATATCATCTCAATATAGCAGGTGATTTTGCCAAATGAAATCAAAATGTCTTTTCGATTCCAATAAAAAATACTTGTTTATGTTTCTATAAAATATTTTTGTCATCTAGATTTTATGCAAATATAAAAAAAGTTTCTCCCTACCTCATTTCTTCATCTTTTTTCGATAGATATATAAACATACAATTAAAATCCTACAGAAATACTATCAAACATTTAAGACATCTACAAAAACAGCAATACTGGACAGAACTGGGATACAGTAAGACCGGACGCATTTAGCGACCAGTCTTACCCACGCCCCGAAGGTTCGCTAATTCTATGTAGATAGTACGACCATCTCGGGAATCGATTCTGGCAGATTCTAGCCTCGTTTTCCAAATGACAAAGTGTGCTGTTCTCAACATACTCCTCATTGATAACATAAATTAAAAATAAATATAAGTGTCTTTGCAAAAAAGTAAGATGCTAAATCAACGCCATTCGGATTTTTCGTGAAACCTTGTTTTTGAGAAATTCCCTATAGGTTTTGATTTACCTGACAGTATAGTTAGAATGTAAGCATTATAAAATCGTATCATTTCATTTCATTGTCATGGAGGCTTGATTTTTGTCAAACAAATGCGAACAAAGGATTTGATGTTATTTAAACTCAATACCTTTTCGCGTCCCTTAGAAAAAAGATCAGATAAACAGGCGGACCACGTAGTGATAATATAAGGACCCCTTTTTTTATTTTTTGAGGAATAAAATCCTAAACAACGATAAACTGAACTGAAGCACGAATAAAGTACAAATATGCCAAAGGGTCACATTATAAACTGAGAGTGACAACACCACAAACATTTAGATGTACGAGTATTAGATGCATTTAATCTTTATTCTGTACGTATAGCATGATATTTACAGTTTTCTTTTACGATTAACGTTGTTGATTAACAATCAACTTTTACGATGAACATCTATACACGTTACTTCCATTACCTAACTTTTTTAAAGTAGGCATCCCCATTGTGGGGTTACGTGTAGAAATACTCAACATACATACATATTTTACGTTATATTCGTACACTATAAATACTAACTAGTCTATAGATTTTAAATGAACTAAATACGAAAACTGAGTAGTGGACGCAGAACAAAAAAAGATCCTTTTCACTTTTGTGCTTAGTAATGTCGAAGATGGTTGAGATGAGTATAATTCCTTATGTATAACAGCTTCTTATAACAGCGTTCTAATATCTTATTAAATACATACAAAAATGACGATGTTTACTTGTGTTGATAAAAGATAATGGACTTACCAAATAACTGTAGATCGCGAAGGGGACATATTCTAACATGACGAACACATCTGCTACTGCTAACCACTTAAGCAGACGGTTGATAGGAGTGACCGAGAGATCACGACGAGTTAGGACGGCTACATTCAGGGCGTTGGCTAAACTACCGAATAGGCAAACCTGTAAAAAAAATACTCGTAAATTAGGATTTTTTAATACATATTGTAGTTTTAGTTGCCGAAGTGTAATCCATTTTTTTATATTCTGCAATGTAAACATCGATTATTATGTTGAGAAATATGTTTAAAAACACATTTAATATCAAAAATGGAAAGCGGTAACTGCATTCTCCACACAAAACCAACAAAAAAACACAAACTGTGAGCCACCTTTTATTTAACTAACCGAAACCAATTGTCGTTCAAAAAATTTTAAAAGAGTTATAGTAGAGAATTTTATTTCAGAAATTAACTTAGAAAATACAGATTCTATGTGAAAATTTTATAAAACGAAATATAATAAATTCGGCAGTGAAATCTGTACATTAATAAAAAGCGACACTTACCAATAGACTGACGTATCCATGTATACTATTATACGCAAGAATCAAATCACGAAATTCTCCAATACAATATTCCGATCTTTCACATTCTTTGACGACTGTTATATTATATTTACTTCGCCAGTCTTCTAAAACTTTGATGGCGTCGCCTATATTTGTAGTATGATTCGTACCTCTATGTTTAAGGATGGAGATAAACCTTGGATCTTCGAAGAAGAAATTGTATGTGCCATTCGATCCACTAGAGTAGTGTGTTTCATTGTCGGCCAGCATTGTGGCTGAATGCACCTTTGGTCATCACTTAAGGCAAAACTCTATGTTTATTCCTGGATTCGCAGATCAATATATTGGTTGCAACTTTTTGTGGTATAAGCGGTGATGGTCTCATATCGTTTACTTCTGCCAATCCTGGAGAACAGAAAAGGAAAATTTATATTCTGATGTAGTTATCAGCTGATACGTTAGGTAACAATGCCTATATTTACATTTAAATAATAACTACTCGATTTTCCTATGCTCTTAAACGTTATGTAAATAAAATAAGTCACTGAATGATAATACTTTTTCACGTGATTGACGTCACAAATATGTTGGTGTGATAAATGCGTATTAAACAGTCTTGCAGTTGTTAAAAAGATGGCATAACATTTACTCAATAATTAAATTTTATTCTTATCAGGTTAACCTATTTCAAATGCACCGGAGTTCAACTTATACTGGTGGTAAGTGATAACTATTAAGCACCCGTTGATATCTTTTTGAAATGTATTTTTCACTCATCACGTAAATTACAATAGTTGTCTTTGTCTAATGACTGCACGGATAGTGTTGTGGTTTAAGCGCTACTACGCCGCTTCCTACTACGCCGAGTGTTGTGGGTCCGTACCTCACATGGGACGACACTTTGTGTGATCCATAAATTGTTGTTCTGAGTCCGGGTGTTCTTTCCGTTCGTTTGATGTATATTTTTAAAGTCCCCCTGACACAGGATACATTCCTAATGCGGTAGTTGTCAAAAAAAAAAATCAGATTATCAAACCATTTCATCGATTAACGTCCCAACCCTGTCCCATCACTATGTTTCAGTGCATTCTAAGTTTGAGTTTGAAATATCCAATCACAGTGCATTTGAAGCGTCCCCCGCAACCCTTGCATACCGCCTAATTGGGTGATTATTTTAATTATATATGAAATTATTGACGATTTCTAATAATTTGCAACCAAATTTAAACATAACTTGTAATTGTGTATTGTTTTAATAGTAAGTGGCTACATTGCTCCCAAGTATAAATAAATAACAAAATCTAGAAGATAATTCAGTTCAGTTAAAAAATGGTTTAGTACATTTGCCACTGGCGCGCAGTGGTAATATATGCGACTGCGACGTCACAAGTTCGAATCTTACTGGAACCAAATATGCGTATGAGTCTATGTGTTCCTATGAATAATATAAACGTTTAACAATTAGGAGTATTATTTCTGTATCAAATTTTGATGTATTTTAGAAACAATATTACGATACTAATTTTGTTACGGTGTACATTTACTTATACATAATATGTTCCGAATTTGAACAGGATTGGATGGAGAGGCGACACGGCAACACTGCTACCGTAGATGCTTACAAGATAAGGTTGCTTGAGGAAATACCGCTGTTGCATTAGCTGTTATAGAGTAGATAATGATATTTCACTCACACTCTGGTGGATTGCACGAGTGTACACAGTGACTAATATGAATATTTACCTGGCTATCTTTGAATATTTGAAATGATTGTAACAACACTTAATGAAAAAAATATGCGTTAGGAAATATTAAGAAACTGGCTTTAATTTCTATAAACAGAAGCACAAACCCCAATGTGTAACGAAGTACTTTTACCATAATTAAACTCAAAATAAACAATTTAAAGCCAACGCTACTACACCACTTAGTTACAAAAACATACTAAATCATAAACCAGCTGCAAACCTCACCCTACGCCTTAGCACCAGTCTAAAATAGCATTGATAATTATGGTACAATTTGTATGGTGCGTAGTTTATTTCTGGCCAGACTATTGCAGAAGAATACATATGTAGATTGACACATAAAACATTTTTGTTGGAATCATGAATCATCATTGCTATAATACGAGTATGTAATAAACACACAAATTTTTTGTACTAAAAATAATACCTTTTCAAAAAAAGTTGAACCGACTTCAAGCAATACTAACAAAAAGTTGCAGTAAAATAATTTATTTGATGTAAAAAATATGTCATTGATGAATATAAATTGAGAGGTGATAAGTTCTTGGATGTGCATTTAAATTATAAAATATCCCTTAAAATAGCAACAAACTATACATACAGGTGTTCCAAAAAAACAAAAAATATTTTTGGTAATACCCTAGATTGTTGTTTAAAGCACATACTTTAAAGTATATGCTTTAGCATATCGATAAATCTTAAAAGCAGCTTCACAAAAATTCTTAACATTTATTGTACTCTTTCGATACATAAGGTACCTGTCTCTACTCTATTATAGAAACTAAAATGAAATCTGCTGCTTTCTTGGATTTAATTTTTCTAACTAACTTAGAAAACCATTAGAATATTCTTAACACAAAATCACATCAAAACCACTTTGCAATTAATCTGACAAGTAGGTACAGTCCGATGCAAACTTAATTGCACATTAACAGCAAAATAAAATAAAATGAATTGCGGCTCGGCACATCGTGCGTTTCGTTGCGCAGAACACAATAATAGACAGCAGCGGGACGCAAAGGAGAGCGAAGGCAGGGCGATGCACGACACGCATGCCTTTTAGTGTGTGAGTTACATCCGTACATTGCACATGCGCGTATATTCCTGTCTACGTACAGTTGAGTCGACTTGACTGCAGGTAATTGCGCACACCTGTGTGTGCACTGGAGCCGCCATTAAGTTTGCACTTCAGAGCAATTCAGAGCACTGCAACTTCAGAGCCGCCACTAAGTTTGCTTAGGACTATATAATACTAGAATCGCTTTGTTTCTTTTTATTACTCGAATAGATATTATATTGATGCTAAATAACAAACTTTGCAAAGAAAATTTAATAAATAATGTGCTTCTAATATAAAAGGATTGATAAGTAACATGTGCAGCTATTATAGTGTTTTATGTCCTGAATATACAAGGTGTCTCAAAAGAAAGTTTATATTTAGTAGATCGATTTAAAAAAAGTAATCAGTGTATCGAAAAAATGTTTATTAATTATTAAAGTACACAATTTGGGCATTTATTTCTTAAAAATAATATCCTCCAAATGTAGACCCTCGCGTTCGCAGCACTCATTTAATCGAACAGTAAAATTACTTATGACGGCTCGGCAGGTGAACTCAGTGATGGCTGCCATTTCGTGACGGATATTTTCTTTCAAATGCGCCAGGGAAGTCGGTTTATTCGCGTAAACTTTAGATTTAAGATAACCCCATAGAAAAAAGTCCATAGGGGTTAAATCAGGACTGCGTGGAGGCCAATTTATGTCACCTCTCCTGGAGATCAATTTTCCTGAGAAAATTTCACGAACTCGTGGCAGAGACGTATTGGACGTGTGTGACGTTACTCCGTCCTGCTGGAACCATGTTCTTTAGTTATGGCCAGGCAAGTTTTGCAGTTCAGGCGCCAAGAAGTCGTTTAACATCTCCACATAACGCTCTGAATTCACTGTAACTGCACGCCCCCTTTCGTCTTCAAAAAAGTAAGGGCCGATAATTCCTCGCGCCGACATCGCCGCCCATACTTTCGCTTTAGGCAATTCTGCTTATTTACGTGTCCATTAACATGAAAATGAGCTTCATCCGAAAACAAGATGTTGGTAAACGTTGAAAAGCGCTTAATCGCCTGATTTACGAAGTCAAGCCTCTGACTGGCATCTTGGGGCTTTAATTCTTGCACCAATTGAATTTTGTAGGGGTGCAGATTTAGGTCTTTGTGCAAAATGCGGTGTAATGATGATCTATGCACATTTAAAGCACTTGCGCGCTTCCGAATTGAAAGGTTCGGGTCGTCACGAACAGACTGATTAACACTCGCCCCGTTTTCTACCGTTCTTGATGACCTTGGTCGCCCGGATTTTGGTTTTTCCAGCGTTGTACCGGTCTCTTCAAACTTTTTGACCCATTTTCGAATAAGAGGAATGCTTGGCGCATCATTTAAATGGCGAAAACCTCGAACACTACAGAACCTTCTACGCGCTACAGTCGCCGAATCACCGTTTTTGTAAAACTCTCGCACGCACAACGTACGGTCTGCTCCCGAGAAACGCTCCATAGCAACTGAATTCCCAAGAGCCAGGCTACCGATTGACATAACCCCCGTGCCCCTCGGACTCGTTGCGTTCACGCAGTAAGCTAAATAAATATAAACTTTCTTTTGAGACACCTTGTATTAAATTCTAATTACCGTAAAGGTAGACTTAAATGTCGTTTTTACTTTCACTTTCACAATATCTTTTTGCACAAAGTTTGACATCAAGGCGAAATAGGCTATCGTTTTCCGATTGCAATATTGTAAATATTTGAATGAAAACAAGTACCTTTCTTGTTTATTATTAAAAATAGAGGGTATGCGTAACGTACCAGATGTACGGATAGGTCAGAGCCTTTCTGTTTTCTTCTGACCGGTTATTTATTTGCACCATAATCAAGCTCTATTCTCCTTCGTTTTTCTGACGAAAAAAATTGGAATCTCTCAACACCTACGCTTAATTTATAATTTATCGTCCGTCTGAGTTCATAATGTTTGGAAATATACGTCAGAAATATAGTTCAACAATGTTTACAGATATTCTAAATGGCGACGGTTAATCGTAGTAAACAAGTTTTGATGTCTTGAAGTTCATGGTTTTAATGTTTACGACTTGTAGCTAAAACTAGCACATCCCATTAACAACACTAGTTTATGGCCTGTAGTCAATTATTCAGTTTCATACATTTTAAATAAGTCAAATTCAATTGCTTAGATACTGTGGCATAGACTGTGTAAATATTTTGTGAATTCATTTGTATTTTATTACCAAGCGTTTTTCGTCAAAAAAAAACATAATACGAGTATTTGAACGTAAATGACATTGTTCACTATTTTTGCATTATTCACTGAAAAATAGTTGTTGAATTTGTATTTTCTTTGTTTTTTTTTATGCTTATTACATATTTTTAATAAGTAAGTGTTTGCTTTTTTTAAAGACTCAAAAGTTTTTACATTATTAATAGAAACACAATTTAACCTAATTTTTTCAACCTCC